TCTTATGGTTGTCCATATACGTCTCACTTTGAGAGTAACAGCTAAACTTCAATCTTCACTCTTATTCTTTGTCTCTGGAAGCCAAAATGTTGAGGATGTCTGTAGGAAATTACTTGTTAGATGCCTTTTGGGTAGTTTTGTATGGTAGGAGCTTTAAGATATGATTATGGTGTATAAATTTTTATTTGAAACAGTGTTGCTTGTGGTATGGGTCACTCCATGGTCATTGTCGATGGAACAAATGTTGGTGAACGACTTGACCAGGTAAATCTTAGCCTAATTGCATATTTCAAAAAAATCTCGGCCAAGTATTGGGACCATGAGTTACACGAGTTTAAACAAGTAGGATATTTCCTAGTTGCAACTTGGATATTATTGTTTTTCTTCTTCCTCGCTCTCCATCTTCTTTCTCTTGTTGTCAAGTGCTTTACATTGGTTGTCCTGTTCGTACGTAACTAATTTTATTTTGGTAGCTGTTCCTGAACTTGTATTTTATTTGCAATTAGTGTGTGGGCCCTGTGTATTGCACGGAGTTTGAGGAGTAAATCACATTGTTCCAGGCATATGGATAGGGGAACGTATTAGAGTTTTTATGTTACACGCACACACACACATACTATGTACTGTGGCTAACGTCCTGTTTCTTTGCAGCTTGATATAGACGATGGGAAAGCTTCTGGTGAAGGTATGCCATAATCAAAACTCATTTATTAGGAAAAGTGAATCATCGGGAAATGATTTTTTTTTTTTTTTTGGGTGGATGGGGGACAGTTTCAACTTGATACACGGTATTCCGTAGTGTGGTGTTCCTTACGCCTGAGAATTTCTTAATCTATCTTGAGTTGGATGTTTAGAAGGGTTTAAGTGTGACAGCTATTTGAAGCTTACACTGTTTACTTATTTGAATGTGCTCTTGCTATAGTAAATGAGGAACCTGTAAAGAAAACTCCAGTGCCTAAGCAGAGTACAAAAAAGGGTGCAAAAAGTGGTGACAACTCCAAGAAGAAGAAAACAAAAGAGTCATCTGAATCAGAGGAGGAAGAGGATGAGGAAGCAAGTGATGGTGAGGAGCAAGTAAATGGCATGGCCAAGGGGAAAAGGAAACGCGGTGGAAATAATTCTGGCAAAGCGAAAGGTAAAGCTAAAGGTTCTGGCCCTGGGCGAAATCGGTCTTCGGTGAAAACGGGCAAGAGAGGAAGACCCCGTAAGTCTTGACTTTAGGTTTTGTGGTCAAATTTAAAAGTTTTGCTCTCCAAGAGAATTGTTTATGTTATTTGTTGGCTGGGGAATTTGCCTACCTGTTATATTTATTGAAATTTTTATTCGGCCGAGTTTTTATTGTAAATTTTTTAGGAAACTAGTAGTTGGATTTGGATATCCCAGAGGCTGGGTTTTACTTTTTAAGTGAAGGAAAATGTCTTTTTGTTTACCTCATTATCCGCCACTCTTTTTGTTGTTTCTGAGTGACTGTTGATTCTAACTAGCGACGGTAGTGAGTTGACAAGGAAAAGCAAAACACTTTGACCAGCAAGCTCCAAGTTTTGAGACAAGTGATACGCAAGAAAACCCTTTCGTGCTAGGTCATGTTGAGATTCTTATTTAGTTTTAATTTCTCGATAACAGGCCTCTTAATTATTCTCATCAAAATTGCATTATCAATAAAGTTTTTCATTTTTGTTTGTTATGCTAGGGCCTGTTTTTTGATTGGACATGGTAGTATCTAATATGAAGATGCGTTAACATGAGTAACTCGACATATCAAGTGTCAAGGGGAGATCTTCAACGAGTTTCGGTTTGTGTATTTTTCATCTTTGCCACCCTTTGTATTTTGCGAAGTCGTTTTTCATGAAACACGTACGATGTTACTAGATATGGTAAATATGCAAACGTATTAAAATTCCCTGAGGAACACCCCTTCAACCAAACGGTGGATGGAACTGGGCTTCTTGTCGTTGTTGAGTGCCCCACATGCGAAATCTATCCCGTTATTACCTGAGAAACTTTAATTGGTTTGCAATGTCAAAAGGCGGCAACGTCTGAAGTGTTTCTGTTCTTCTTTTTCCAGTAAAGACATTTGAAGTGTTTCTTAATCTTCGGCCTACAAATACTATGAGTTAAGGTATGTTTCTTTCTTGCAAACGTCCAAATTCACCGAACATAAAATTACGTATCAAGTCATTCCTTGTGAAATACATCAATAGAGATATGATACCTGGCAACTACTTTAATTTTTTTAAACAATATACTTTCAACGACTACCGTTTGGAATGATCAAGTCTTAGTTTCACCAAGTGTTGTATTTAAGAAAAAAGCTACTACATAGAAAATTCATTGCTTTAAAATCAATGTAAGTCAACTTGGGGAATGAAGTCCTACATAAATATAATTCAAACCAACAAGTCACTCAACATTAGGATGCGAGTCATAAAGGAAATTTGAAATTCAGCAGTATAATTGTAGAGGTTTTGCTGATTAGTTTTCAGTTTAAAATGATTCAATATAATGACCAATACACCATCATCGTCAGTAGTAGCAGGCAGCAGGCAGAGCAAGTGTAGAATGAAAATAAATTCAATACACGTTACATTGTCAAGTTATTGTGACAGTTGAAGCCTTCAAATTACGATAGCATTTTTTCGTTTTTTGCAAACCCTCAAATTCACTTGTCAGTATAACGATTGCTCTGCAAACGCCAAGAACCATTTGGTTCGCACCAACTCTCTTCCCATCATGACAAGGAAGATGACGGTTCAAGCTCAAGAGAAGGCATAGAGGTGGGTGTGCGACTTTAATTCGTACAAGAAAGGAACGTAAATGGGGGTAGGTGGATCGTTTAGTATTTTATATTGGTAATTGTCCCCATAAAAAAAAAAAATGCCCCGCAAACGAGAAACAGTAAAATGGTGTAATCAATATCAACATTCAACGTATCAATCAATATCAGTATAAAATATCAATAAAAAGGAAGCACTGTTTATGAGACGAATATCACCATTCGTTTTTTTACGATTACAAAATACATCATCACGAGTCACGGCAATCCCATATCTAACTATTCTAATTCTAAAGGATATTCATGACTGGAAAATTAAACGCGAGAGAGAGAGAGAGAGAGACAACTTGCACATTCATCATAGCTGTTCGTCTTCTACTCTTCTTCCTTTATTTGTCTTCGTTAGTATCAGTTTGACTTTTACTAATACCATCTGGCAATCTGGCATAATTATATTTTAGATAGTTATACTAAACTCATTGTCTAAAAAAATTGTCTCACCATTTTTTTTCAATTTAGCTTCGTCAACGAACTTCGTCTTGCTCCCATTACAAATGAAAAAAAAAAGAAAAATGTAATAGTTAGTCCCAGTATTTTGATTATGTTTTAATTTTAATCCATATAATGTTATTTCATTATTTTCAGTGCCTTCAGTTTAATCTATTTGTAATATTAGTCCTTATAAAGTTATAATTGTAAAAATATACATGGCAACCATGAATTAACAGGAACAAAGTTAATTTTCTTAAAAATTTAACAAGTTAAGATTCATCTTCTAACAATAATATATATTTGTTTTTATAAGACAATATCGACTTTTATTGTGATAAATTATCTTGAGAGGGCTTTAAATATCATTTTCTTTTGAAAATAAAAACTAAGGAGGCAAAAAAAGTTTCCTTGTTTATTTGGATTAAATAGAATGTAGGAGACGAAAATAATATTAAGTACACATTAACAGGGACATCAACAGGGTTAAGTATATATTGGCAAAATTAACTCCATCAATGCCCGCTAATGATCCTTATGTACATTTTTAAAATTATATAGATTAACGTATTGTACTAAAAAAATTTAGAAATAATAAAATAAAATTATAAAGACTAAAAAAAATACAAGAACCTATGTTGTATTTTAAAAAAAGGAAAAGAAAATAAAAGAACTCCCTCTTGCGTGATTAATTATTTGCCGAACGCGCCACGTAGTTACTTTTTGTGCGAACTAGCGTCATTGATGTTTGTCTTATTATACTTTCTCTTTTTACATGTTATCATTATTTACTCACCGCACAAATGCGCAGAGGTTTCAAAATTCGATTAGAGCAAGGATGATTGAGCACGCTTTCAATGCATATTTCATTATCATACTATACCTAGAACTGGTAAAAAAAGTTGGCCCGATTATGTAGGGCCGGAACTTGAAGGGTTCAGGCTTAGCCCTTTTAAGCTTGAGTTCCCTTTAGGACCTTAATATTTGAAGCTCGGCCCTTGACATAGCGGGTTCAGGGCGGTCCTGCGGGTTTTAAGCCCTTTTAATTATTTTTATTTTTTTTAAATTTTTTAATCAAATAAAAAATTACTTCATTTTAATATAATACTCAATCAAGAAAGGTACAAAAAAAAACTAACTAAATAACATTTAAATGAACTAAAAATACAAATAAAATAATAGCAATGTAATAAGCAATGGATCGGTTAAGCCGACAAACACCCAATCAAAATTAGAAGAGTAAATGTTGAACTGAATGAATCATTATCATGGATCTAGATGAATTAGGGGATTTAAGGTTGTATTTTTTTTAGAAAATAGTAGCCAAGGATTTCTATATGAAATTCATATCAATTAAGAATCAATTGTTGTCAAAACCTGAAGGAAAAACAAGCTACAATGAACTATTATTAATTTAAAATGAGTTATTATTAAAATCTAAATGAATACTTATTGATAAAGGCTAACTCGAATTCACAAGTATCTACTCGAATTTTGATAACATGTAATCTTTGATTGATATAATTTTTGATCAGTGATTCTTCATTGCTATTTTTCCTTCTTTTTTTTTTGCCTTCCATCCTCAGTAAATATGGGCTAATATGTGATGTGGAGTAAGATTTAGTTTAATTTTTTTTAAATCTAAAAAGAATAAAAATTATGAGAATTAATTAAAAAAATGCATATGCGGGTTTAAACGGGCTGGCCCTCGGCCCTACAGGGCCGGCCCTTTTAAGCCTTATATTAAACGGGCTTAAATGGGCCAGCTCGTTTAAGCCCGATTTATTATTTTATAGTTCTATTTACAAGCTTGACCCTACTCTTATACGGGCTTAAACGGGCTAGCTCGACGGACTTGGCCTGTTTTTCTGGCTCTAATTATATCAGAAGCACGCACCCAATACAGCGCATGAACCCTAAATTTAAAAAGAAAAACATAATAACAGCACTAAACTATGCCCATTGCTCTGTAGTTGGTGGGATTATTGTATGATGAGAAAGATCCTAAATTAGTTTCACGGGCATGAGGCAAAGAGCATTCTTTTTGTGCATGGTGATTCCAGGAAGAACATCAGTGTCTATGTCGTCCATTTTCATCCCTCTGGGAAGTTCCCAATCGAAAGAGTTGAGTAAATTGGCAAGTGCTAATTCCACTGTGACTACACCCATCTGAATTCCTGGGCAGATTCTCCTTCCTCCTCCGAATGGAATCCACCCAAAGTCTTGTCCCTTGCTGAAATCTGCAGAACTCGATTCAAATCTCTCTGGATTGAACTCTTCTGGCTTGTCCCATGCCTCTGGGTCCCTCCCTATAGCCCACACGTTGAAATATATCACACTCTTATCTTCTATGTCATATCCTCCAATCTCGCATCTCTCTGTTGCTTCTCTCGGAACCATTAATGGTGCCGGGGGGTACAGTCTCAGGGTCTCCTTCACCACCGCCTCCAGATAATTAAGCTTTTGAAGGTCATCTTCGTCGATGAAGCTTTTCCCAGGGTTTAAGCTTCTGATTTCTTCTTTGACTTTCTTCATCACTCTTGGATTTTTTATCAGAGCCGTCATCGCCCAAACAAGCGCTGCCGCACCCGTGTCAGTTCCTGCTATGAATATATCCTGCACCGCCCATTATATTTTATTATTTTACGACGCTGTCATGCTTTGTTGTTTAGTCCCAAAATAAGTTCCATTGAACTGGCATTCCTCGTACTCTTGTTAGGCACTCTCCACAATTTCAAGAATTAATAACACATTAAATATCTCTTACCATCAAAAAAAATTTTAGTCTTATCTCTATCCATCAGAGAGAAACATAATATTGAAGAAGCTTTATAGAAACATTCAATTAAAATTAAATTCTTATTTTAATAATTTTTAATAATAAAAATTGAAAATATTGATTAATAATTCTCTGTATGATTTATATTAAAAAAACAATTTTTTTTCTGGAAAACATTCTACAATAAAAACAAAGGGAGGATTTTATTGCAAGCCTTGATCTAATGGGCGCTAGTTCATATTTTACTGCCTATATGATAGCTATTCTAATTTCTACGTAAAACTTTTACTTACAATTTTAAGGCTAGAAAAGGTAAAAAATAAGAATAATATAATTTTTAGTCTTTAATTTTTTTCTCAATTATATATTTAGTCTATAACTCATCTTTATTGAGTTAAGGAATTATGAAAGTTGAAGTGTATCGAATAAAAAATTATAAAAACTGAGTTTAGTTATTACATGAGTTAAAAAAAGAAGGCATTAAATTGTTACGAGTTAAAATTAAGAAATTAAATTTATAATTGAGGAAAATTTCAGGGGTAAAAATTGTATTTTCTCAAAAAGATAAGAGCAATAACCATGAGTAAGGCTTTGATGCGAGTCGAGGAGAGATCGAATGAAAAAGAGGTCTCCTTCATCAATCCAAGGCAGACATCGATGAAGTCTTCTTCTTGATCGGATTTACGGGCTTTTGAATGGATGTGATCATCGATTATCTTCTGGTAGAAATCATCCAATTCCTTGAAGCTTTTGTCGAGCCGCCGCATCATTCCCCTGAACCTATCAACCCAATATCCGATCAACGGAAAATGGTCTGTGAAGTAAAACGCGGCGATCATGGCCTGTTCTTCATTCAACATCCCATGAAACCGACTCCTTTTGCTTCCTTCATCTTCATATCTCTTCCCAAAAGCAGCTCTGCAAATCATGCTGCTTGTGAGACGCATCACCGCCTCGCTCAAGTTGGTAGCTTGATTAAGAGAAGCCGACTCTGATATCTTGTTCATCATTCGGAGCACTTCGTCTTCTCGGATGGCGCGAAAAGACTGGACGCGTTTGGTGTTGAATAAATGAACTACACAGAGCTTTCTGAGTTCTCTCCAGTAATCACCGTAAGGTGAAAAAACCAGGTCCGAACAGTTGTAAGAATATTTCCTTTGACCGAATAAGGATGGCCGGCTGGCGATTTGGCGGTCGTGGGTTTTGAAGAAGAGCTCCGCAGTTTTTGCAGAAGAAACAACTAAGGTTGGTATGGAACCGAGACGCAACTGCATGAGAGGGCCGTAGTGGTCGGAAAGACGCCATAGATGGAGGTGCAGGTCAGAGCTTGGAAGCTGGTGAAGATTACCGATGAGAGGAAGACCTGGAGGACCGGGAGGGGTGTTACTTGAGGCCGTGGTTCTGTGTTGATGAAGAAGATAGAAGAAGATCAAAGGGACGACGCAGAGAAGAACAATTAGAAATAGCATGATCGGCGGGCGGTGGATTTTAGAGCTTCTGTTTTGTTTCTGGCTCTGATGCAGCCAAATCGTTTCAATCACTTGGCGTTATATGCTAGCGGGGGGAGAGTCTTGGTTTTGAATTCTTCGTTGTAGGGTGGACTTGGAGAGAATTAAGGAATAAAAAATACATAAACTATTTTTTGCAAATAATTAATAACTAATCAGCATTTATTTCAACAAAACAAAAAAAAAAAACTTAACCAGCATTTAAAGTTAGCATGAAAAAACCACTCTCTTCTCTGATTTTAATTACTTTATCAAAATTAAAGAATGACAGTTAATTCCTGAAATATGATTTAAAATATTTTTCAAACTTTATTCCTATTAAAAAGATAAAATACACAATATGCCATAAAATTAAATCTATAATAGAATGAAAATTGAAAATGGTAATTAACGACTATTCACATGTTTTATATTAAAAATTAAAAAATCTGTTTAGAAAGATCAAAGGGAGTATGTAGTTTTTTTTTCCCCCTCAGCAAGAATAGGAAGTAAGCTAAAGATTATCCTTCTCGAAACACCAAAAAAAAAAAAAAAAGATAATCTTTTTCAACGAAATACTAAATACACAATAATTGAGATCTCAACTTCTAAACCACTTGTTCAAGGTAAAAAAAAAAAAAACACCACTCTATGATCCATGAAGGTAAACTATCATATTTGGATGAAATGGAGAGAATTCATAAAAGAGGAATCATGGGGCCCATATCGTGGAGCATGGCATGTGTGCATGTTAGATTTGCATTTAAAATCAATTAATTATATAAAAGTCAAAAGTCATGTTTTGACAAAAATTACCCCAACACTTATCTTATATATTAAAATTAATTATAAATTTAAAATTATATTTTTAAAATTATTTAAATACCCATTATATATGCTAAAATTAGTTATAAATTTAAAATCATGATTTTTTTAAAAATATCCAAACATATCTTATTATGTCAAAATTAGTTGTGAACAAAAAAATAATTTGTAAGATAATTTATATAATTTTTGAATAAATTTTTAGAAATGTACAATTGAAAAATTGAATTAAAAAGCATGCAGTACTATCTTAAAGATAATCATGATTTTGAGTTTATAATTAATTTTAGTATGGGTGTATTTGGATATTTTAAAAAAAATTATAATTTTAAATTCATAATTAATTTTGACATGTATAATGATTGTTTGGATATTTTTTTAAAAACATAATTTTGGATACATAATTATTTTAACATGTAGCATGAATATTATTTAGATATATTTTTACGAAATCTAATTTTACTTTATTTTCAATTCTACTTTTCAATTCTTATTAAAATCAATTTTATTAATTAATTTTATCTATCACGTAATATAATCAATAATAATATAAATCAATCATATTAATTAATTTTTTTATATTTACTTATATCCAAGAATTCAAACACACCTTAATAGTTGCGGGCAATGAGATTCTCAAGAATCCGTGGCAAGTGCCTCACCAATGACTAGCTGTGATCGAGCAGGGGATAAGGAGAATTATTTTAAACAAAATTGAACTAATCTAGAGGCAATAGTACGAGATTTAATTTTTCCTTATATTTAAATACAAAAATGTTTTATGTAATGATTTAATTGGGACCGCATAATTAATGTTTTGCAATCATAGCGCGGCCATACATCTTGTTTTTTTTTTTTTTTCCTTTCTTTTAACCAACACGGCAATACATCAAACGTATGACACACGCACATTCTTTTTATAAATTATTTTTAACATATTTTATTAAATTAAAAAAATCCTTAAAATTTATTAACTCTAAAAATTAATACATTTTTAACTTTGTTTCTGTTAAACATACAGCTTTAACAACATAACTTTTTTCTTTAATATTTAATGAAGGGTAAAAAAAATTAATGATAAAAATTTAATAATATAACTTATAAATAGAATAAAATAAAAATTTCTCTCCCTTTCTTATAAATAAAATTAGAAAGAGTATAAGCCAAGACCGTCTGCAACGTCAAATGTACACACACATCAATATTATATTCTAAAACTTTTAAATTTTCAAATTTATGTTGCATGAGGTATGACTCTTTCAATGATGAGATCCACATTCCGTGCTCACTACCTAAATAGGTAATTCTAACCACTTATTTCACTTTAAAACGATTTCTACTATTAATTTTAAATTAATTTTTAAATATTTTAAATATTATGTTTGTGAAGATAAAAATTATAAAAATTAATATTAAACTTAGAGTATCTAAAGTATATTTATATAGTCAATTTATAAAAATTATAAAAAAATTTAATATTAAATTAAATTATTTAAATTGTATTTGTATTATTCAGAGTATATTTAAATAATTAATTCATAAAAGCTATAAATAATTATATAAAATTGGACTACTTAGATTAAACCTATACAATCAAGATTGATGATAAATAGATTTACTAAAAATTTAATATTTTTTATACATTTTTCTTTTGATAAATATAAATGTAAAATAAAAATAAAAATTGAAATCTAAATTGTCTAGATCCAGTCTGAGGTGAAATGTAATATACCCCTCTCTTTTGATTAGCTATCTATATAAATATTCTATACTACGCAAACTAATTAAATTTTAAAAGAGGATGCCTTTTTGGACTTTGGACGAGCACTCGAATGTGTGGCGTGATTTGGTGCGGTTCGGGTGTCAGCAATTTAGACTGTCCAAATTTTAATTTGAATAATTCATATTTATAAATTTTATTTTATATTTTACTTTATATTTATTAAAATAAAAATTATAAATAACAATAAATTTATTTTATTATTAATTTGGATAATGCAGATTTAATTTGAATGATTAAAATTTAATATCAAATATTTTTAAAATTTTTATAAATTGATTTGTCAAATGTAATCTGAACAATCTAAATTTAAAATTTTTAAATTACAATTTTTATTAATTTTTTTGAAGTATCAGTTTCAAGATAATATTTATTTTTATTTTTATATTATATTCACTTAGATCAAATTTATAAAATTTTTTATAAAAGTTTATTATTAAATTCAGACTATGCAAAATACATTTGGAATTCTGGATAACCAATTTACTAAAATTATCAAAAAAATTAATATTAAATTAAATCATTCAAATTAAATTTGTATTATTCAAATTGATGATAATATTAATTTATTAAAATTTTATAATTTTTTATAATAAATATAAAATAAAAATATAATAATAAATCTTTTAGTTTGAACGGTTCAAATTAAAAATCTAAAGGATCCAGGGATCAGCACAGCCAATGAGCCAAACGCTGATTTCTTTCATTGCTTTTTACGCTTTTCTTGGACCTGTTTTTAAATACAGAGAACAGAGCATTGCCAGTTCGATCAACGATCGCCACCACTTAGATCAGGAAATTAAATAAGATGTTTGGATGACCCAAAAGGTAAGAAGCACTTATAAAACCGCAAACACACACACACACGCACGCACACATTCGTCAAGTGGTTGGTAACATAATACATAAAGCAGTTTTTTAAACCAGCCCATGAATGCCTTTTTTTTAGCCAGACCAACCCATAAATTTTAGCAGTTTAAAACTCCGTGAGCTTGGTGTCACGTTTCGACATTTTTCACAAGGTTAAAGAGGTTCGGAATGCTCCAGAACCCTCCAGAAGGCTCCCAGCTAACCTTAAGAGTGCTAGATAGTGCAAGAACATTCTAGAGAAGCCTACACAACTCTAGCCTCAATATTTTAATATTGTCTCTAGATTCTTCCATTAAAATATCTAGATATTTGTTAAGAGAATTCTAGAGAATCAATTGTAACCGTAGGATAGATTTAATCTCCACCGTCCATTAAGGAGGTGGGAACATTCTAGATCCAAGGGGAGGTCTATAAATACCTCACCCCTTCTCATTTATAAATCATCCTTGAGTTCTCAAAGCTATAGAACTCTCACATTCTCTCTCTACTCTCCTTTGCCTTCAAGCTTTCCCTTTCCTCTTCTTAGCCAAGCATCCTCCTTTCCTACGAGTTAGGCTTACTTAGCAACTTCCTGTGAAGGTTGTCTAAGTGCCGCACGGGTCGAAAGATTAGCCCCGTGACAGTTGGTATCAGAGCTCGGTTCTACCGTTGTGCTTGAAGGAAGGTATTGTACGATGGCAACTGAGGAAGGAAACGTCGTTGGCACGGAAGCACAGGAGCAAGCTCATGCGCAACAGGAGCAAGCTCACCCCAGGTCCAAGCGAGAGCGAGGCCGGAGCAGGGCACCCGCAGGTGAGTCCCTTGAACCTCGTGTTGGTAGCTTGGAATCTAACATGGAGGAAGTGAGAACTACTATAGGGGGACTCAACGATCAACTCAACAATCTCCTCCAAGAGAATGCTGAGATAACGCGGGCTGCCAAGTTGATGATTGCAGACCTTAACGATGATTTAGGGGAAGACATTCGTTCCCTCAGACGTGATCTCGCCGATCTCCGCAAATATGTAAGAGATGAGGTACGAGGTCTACGCTCTCAAATGGATGAGATTCGTCATGAATGGGATTCTCATCACTGTGTGAGTAGCCCTATTAGTGGTAGTACTTCAAACGCCACTTCTCAGGGTCTGAAAGTGCCCAAGCCGGCCATGTACAATGGGACTCGTAGTGCTACAATTGTGGAGAATTTTCTCTTTGGCCTAGAACAGTACTTCGAGGCCATGGGAGTCTCTAACGACTCGATCAGAATCAACACTGCTTCAACTTTTCTCCGGGATGCAGCCCAACTATGGTGGCACAGAAAGCATGCCGAACGAGAAAAGGACCTTTGCACTCTCAACACATGGGAGTTGTTCAAGTCAGAACTCCGCAAGCACTTTGTTCCCCACAATGCTGAGACAGAGGCTCGAGGTAAACTTCGTAGATTGAGACAAACTAGTAGTATTCCTGACTACATCAAAGAGTTTACTACCATCATGCTCGAGATCGAGGACCTGTCCGATAAGGAGGCTCTTTTCTACTTCATGGACGGACTTAAAGACTGGGCGAGAGTAGAACTGGATAGACGCAAGGTGCAAACTCTAGAT